AAGAGAACATTTCCCTCACATCTTATTCAGGATGGGCACGAGAGGAGAGGCCTTGCGCATCGCGAAGGAAGTGTGGATGGGGAAGTAGGGCGCCGGCAGCAGGAACACGCCGCAGTCGTTGCCGTGGTTGAGCTCGTAGTACACCTCCCACATGAGGAGGGCGTACGAGTCTTTGTAGACGCGCTGCATGCCTTCATCGTAGTCGATGACGAGGTCGTTGTCCACGTCTATCGACTTCCACACTTTCTGGATCACGTCGGATTTGGAGTCCTGGAGGGGGAGGGGGGAGGGGTTAGTGTGTACGTGTGCATGATGTTGGTTTAAAGAAACGCTCACAAATCTGTATTTGCTGCATTTGTGTTGGTGAAATTGTCTCTCTCTCTCTCTATATATATATATATATTTTTTTTTTTCTCTCTATTTCTCTCTCTCTCTCTCTCTCTCTCTCTCTCTCTCTCTCTCTCTCTATCTATCTATCTATCTATCTCTATCTATCTATCTATCTCTCCCTGTCTCTCTGTTACTTCTGTTTCTCCTTCTCTCTCTGTCTCTCTTTCCTTCCTTGACCTCACCCTCCCCACTCCCATCCTCATTCCCTTCTCTTCCCTCACCTGGAAGTTGGAGACGGTGGCCGAGCCCTTCACGAACCCGAAAGTGAGGCCCTTATCGTTGTACACGTCTTCGAGGTTGCGGTGCGGGGGCAGCGGGGGCCCCACGGTGAGGGCGGACGTCAGATTGCTTGTGTAATGGCCCAGCAAGAGCACGTTTAAAAACAGCACGGTTGTCACTACCAGCCGACCGCCCAAGCCCGTAATGCTTACTTCTGGACCTGCGAAAAAGTCATTATGCGCTATTTTGATGGAAGATGTGAGAATCTGATTTTTTTTATTATCTTACTTTGAGAAAGCATTCATTCTGGACTAGGGTCACTAAGAAGATATTTCTTTTTCTTTTCTTTGAGATATTTACCTTTCTTTATGGACAACTGAAATCTATTTTTTTTATAATCATGAAGTACCCATCATCATCATAGTTGATGGATTTATTTTGTTCCAACCAATCACTTAGTTTCTTATCGCTTTTGCTTTTGATGAAGCCGTTATCCTTTTCATTCAAACTTCTTCAAACACTAAAAAGTTTCCCGATTCGATCGCCGAGAGTTAGAAGTACAGTGTGTATATAAGAAGACACGAACATGTGTAAAAAGCATGAGAAGTACCCTGCAAGGAGATGCATATCTTGTAATAATTATATTTTAAATAGGTGCTCTGTCAACATCTTGAAATAAAATATGTAACATAAAACTACAATGGCAAAGAAACGTGACAAAAATTAATTTCACACTAACCCCATACTGAAGTCAACAAAAAGATGTCGACAGGGACTCTCCACTGTTCGGGGATAACACTACAACTTGCTTTACTGGTTTGGGCAGCAGCACCCTTGCTGCATTACAGTGCAGATCAATTCTCGTCTAATCTCGTCTAATCGCGCTCTCTGCACAGTACAAACAGATCTCGTCCCCTCTTACTCTGTCCAAATAAGTAGACGACGATGGCGAAAAAGCTCTCCGAAACGGACACGTCGTCGTCCTGCCTGGAGTACCTCAGCACCAAGTACAGCACGACCGAGAGAGCCACGATGACCACGATCACCATGAGCCAGACGCCAGCCTCGAACTGTTTCGTGTACACGGTCCACATGTAGTCCGAGTTCGACGGCCTTTTCATTACAATCTTGAAGCTGGAGGAGAGAGGCGAATATGCATAACTATGCGTTGCCTTTGTATATTGGTGCACGTAAAAAACATGCATATTTTGAAATGAAACAGAATATGCGTGTTTTTATTAAGGGAAAAGATAGATGCATACAGAGCAGAAACATAAGTTTGAGTTCCGGCTGAAACACGTCTATGTAAAGATTGTATTAACCACACATGGTGCACTTCCGTATTTAAATGTAAAATAGGAAGATTGAAAAAATAGAAAGAGACACCCTCAATTATATAACCACATTCCTTCCACCAGCCCAAGCAATTTCCAACCACCCATACCTTGAAGATATCATCCCAGTGAGAAAATCCACCACCGAGTACCGCTGATTCGTCATGGAGAGTGCGGCCACGGCGACGTCCGCGGTCCCGTCCAGCACTTCCTTTATCATTCCCGTCCACTTTCCATTCACGACGGCGCCCCACTGTTTGTCCAGGGACTCGTGGCAGTCGTATCTGCACGTCATATTGCGGGACAAAGGAGAGCGGTCATGTTTTTTTTTTTTTTTGTCTGATTTGCGAAGCAGAGCCTCGGCCGAGCTATGCCCATGAAGGGAGCCCGGTTTTTGGTCATGGTTCTTGTTTCTTTGTATTTGTTCTGTAGTATTGTTGGGATTTGGAGATAACGCATTCAGCATGATATTTCCAATCGCAGATACATTGTTGTAGAAACTCATTTAAACGCTGCTCTCTACTGAGGGACTGTTATTACATATTTACTTATCATGATACAGTTATTACGACTATTCTGTTGGGATGAAGAGAAGATACACATATATTATTCTACGTGTATCATGGCAATGCTAAACATGGGCGCATTGTTGTAGGGAATCCACGAAGAACTGTTGCGATTATTTGCTTTCTTTGTATACTGTGATGGTATTTGAGGAAGGGTTCTTTTAAGTACAGGTCGCGGCCATTGGATTGGCGTTTGCCAGGAAAACAAAAATAATAAATAAACCAATTGAATTGAAATCTTTATATATATGACTATAACAAATACCACTACTGTATAATGCACATAAACGTTAAAATGAGTAGTCATGTGGATAAACTATAGTGGAATGTGATGACATAAATCTGAAGAAAAGGGTATGACGTGTTTCGGCCTTTAGTTTAAATCAGATGTAACTTTTTTGCATATTGCGTTATTGTTTAATATTACAAGTCGTTATGCCGCTAGTTCTCCCGTGCAGGCTAGGAGGCTGTTGACACCAGATTTATATTGTCGCGGTTTAATGACGGAGGAAAAATCTGAGTCAACCTGTTGGTGCTTTTATGATTTTTTTGCAAGTGTAAACTACGAAAATAGCATAAAAGTGTATTTATTCCTATCGGGCTACGGCAGTACTTGATTGACTGAATATAACAGTGCTATATTTTCTTTAATTAAGTTTAGGCCCTATATCGAAGTGACGTGGTGACCTGACCTGAAAGGAATGTCTACTAAAGTGGCCAGTTCACTTCCGGCCTGACTTAGGCCAGAGTTTATAGCAGTACATAATAAATATACACAATAAATAATAATATAAACAGATTTTAAAAATCCCTCCGAAAGGATAGGGCTGCAAACCATTGGTGACTAGAATTCCATGGGATAAGGAAGGTAATATATAAAACTAATCTGGGTCGCGAGGATTTAAAATATATAGCTCTGTTACATGCGATTAAGAGCAGGAAACTAATATATCAGTTAACTAGTTAAACAAGTTGAACACTCACGTGAAGTTGGTAACCTCAGAGAGCGTGTAGAAGACTTTTCCCAGAATACCTTTAAGGCCTCCGTTCTTGCCTTCCTCCCAGATGCTGAACGGAGGGTGCTCGGGAAGGAACGGAGAGCGGGTTAGGCATTGAGCGACGCAACTTTGCCGCGAGATACTGATACTGCTGTGATTTGAAGGTATATGAAGGTTATATGAACGTTTTAACTGACAAATAATTTAATGAGAGTATTGTCGGATAATTGGTCTGAGACCCCCTTTGGAGGCACATACCTTCATATAATGGTAGCGATTTTAGCAATGGCAGCGATAATAATATTATTTTCGTATAATCAATGATACTGTAGGTTATTATTAATATTATATATTATCATCATTATCTTACTATAATGATGATGATGCTGATATAGGTAATAATAATAACAGTAGTAACGATCATAACAATAGCAATAGTAATGATAGCGGTGATGATGTTACTAGAAATGACAGGAGGCCACATGAACTGTTTATGTAGAATCCGGGCACAAGAAGTTCTCTGTAGTGAACGAAGTCTAAAGAGAACTGCCACAGGGAGGATTCGTTTTGTTTTCAACCGATTTTTACATTAATTTGGGGCGCTGACTTGATAGGACCAGGACCTCTAACCCTCGAAAAAGGAGACTTTTACTATCAATTAGTTTCCGCTTAACAAAGCCATACATAAGATTGATCTCGGCCCCTATTCACGGACCTGATGTTTTGAGTTTGGATGTTCAAAACCGTCCTTCACTAACTACTGATTATTCAGACCCACTCTGCTCCAGCTGATAATAATAATTTGGCAATGGTACAACACGGCAGATAATAGCGTACCAACCTACCCGCTACCTAACCAATGGCCCCAGCTACCCTTGTCCACAAAGCTGTTTGCAGTTTTTAATGTCGTGCTAGAGCAGGTTTATTCAAAGTAAGCGTCGCAACGCAGTAGTAGATCGTCACAAAATAGTAAGTATAATGCTTATAACATTTAATAATAATAATAGTGATAATAATAATTACTATTATTATTATTAGTAGTAGTAGTAGTAGTATCATATATATATATATATACATATATATATATATATATATATATATATATATATATATATATATATATATATATATATATATATAATGAAAATGATAACCAAGGCTGAGAACAACGCAGTAGTAGATCGTCACAAAATAGTAAGTATAATGCTTATAACATTTAATAATAATAATAGTGATCATAATAATTACTATTATTATTATTATTATTAGTAGTAGTAGTAGTATCATATATATATATATATATATATATATATATATATATATATATATATATATATATATATATATATATATAATGAAAATGATAACCAAGGCTGAGAACAAGGTTGGAAAAAAACAGTTAAAAATTATAAATATCACGAAATAAGCGAAAAAAAACGAAAAACTAGGGAGGTATGTAATAAGAAAAGACAAGTAAAACACACTGTAAAGAACGAAACAGGTGGTTACGGTCACAGAGGGTACACCGTAAATAGCTTAGATCTTATGAATAAACAAAGATTCAAAGATTGGTAGCTTCGCCCGAACGTGTGTCACTCGGCTTACCCGCCTTGGTGCCCAGCCACATCAGGAACCTACAGGTGACTATTGCAACTTCTCGTGCCTGGGCGGGGCGCGAACCGCTGGCTCCTCGGATGAGAAGCCGACACGTTACCACTGTACTAGCCCGGAGGCTGAGGTCGGATTTGTTGAAAGATGTAGACACAATTTTGAGAACGCTGTGAGTGTAGGGGTAGTTTTCCATGTGTGAATGATGGCGAATAGCAGAGAACGCTGGCTTGCTTAGAGGTAGGCCTGTTATTATGGACTTCTCCATATGTTCAAGAATTTTGTGCTTGAACAAACATGTCGTTGATCCAAGGTAAAGCTTAATAAGAGGATCGCACTCGTCAGAGACAAAGTCCCAAACTCCAGCTAACAATCTTGAGGGATCTCGTGGGGAACTTTTTTTTTGTTTTCTGCTCTGGTGATTTCAAGAGGAATTAGTAGCGTTTCTACTTCGTGCTTTGGGAAGTGAGTTAAGAGAATGGATGTGTGTTTATATATATATGTATATATACATACATACATAGATATATATGTATATATATAGAGACACACACACACACACACACACACACACACACACACACACACACACACACACACACACACACACACACACACGCACACACGCACACACGCACGCACACACACACACACACACACACACACACACACACACACACACACACATACACACACATACATATATAAACATATATATTATAAACAAGAAGGAAAAAACAATCGAAGTGCCATCTGGCGGTCATTTTACCCGTATTGGAACAACATTTAACTTCATTTTCGACAATGAAACTGTCAGTCGAATTACATTTACACGAACTAAGATATAATGGTTCTTGCTTTTTCAACATTAGTTGCATTAATGTGCCTATCTGATTTGACGAATCCAATGAAACAAGTTTAATCATTCACTTTACTTGTGACTTTGAAAGGTACCTCTTAATATGTATGTGTGTGTGTGCGCGCACGCGTGTGTATTTTTGTCTACGCTTTCACTATCAACATGTAATCCGTTCCACAAGCTGATGCTAAAAGGAAAATCCACATTTTTCATTTTGTTAGTCTTTATTATTTTAAAAGCTTTGGATGGATAGTTTAAAGGGCTTTAATATGTGGCATTAGGTAGTGCATTGGAAACCACTCGATAAACAAGATTTTCGGGCAGCCAAAAGGTTAGCTAGTATGTTACATTTGTTTTAGATTTCTTCTGTTCTTATGAAAGTTTTCTCTTTCACATTTTTGTTTAGGTCCATTCTTAAACGTGTTCTTGTTATATACAGTGTTTTATGTTATTTGCAAGCATATCATGCATCTAACACTTCTCTACACTTCATGATAAATGCTATATGGCCTTTGATGTCAAGCACGTGTATTTGTTTAACCCATTAATCATTACACTTCATAGTGCGTGCTTGTTTGTTCGTGTTTTGCATAATGAATCTAAGTTTGACGGATGAGTTCTTAATCCCTTTGTTGCATAGCTATACTTATGGAATATTTGCGGAAATAATATTGATAAATTCATATATATATATATACACATATATATTTAGATATTATATATATGTAATATATATATATACTTTTATAATATATATATATATATATATATATATATATATATATATATATATATATATATATATATATATATATATATATATATTTCAACTGAAATAATTGTCAGTATTTTACGCAACATGTATACAGAACTTGACACAGCGAGATTTTTAAAATCAGTGGTTGCAGATAAAACATCCTTAAAGCATGTACAGAATTTTAAATAAAGGTTTGTTTTATGATTGCTATCATGTGGGGTGTTATAGGGCCTCCCTGGGTATCTATGGTATTAAATGTAACCAAAGCATTATTTCAATATATCATTATATACCGTAGGCAAAAGAACAATCCTTTTTTTTATTTATATATTTCTCATCATTGTCAAACACAGAACCGGTCCAGACGCAATTTTTATTCACCTCCATTTATCATCAAACAAAGGAAATATTTCAGACCCATTACTGCTCATGCGGTTTGGGAGTTTGCTTCACTTTGCCAAAGTGCCGACAGACACAGAAGCTGCCAAACTCATTTAAGTTGTTATTGTCAGTTTATGTATCAGTATTTTTTTCTATAGAATTTATCATAATCATGTCAGAAAAGAAGAATTCTGTAGAATTCAAAGATTCCATATAATAGAGGCCTATGTCTACCTATGATTTAACGAGAATTTGAGTGTATTTTATTCTTGCTAGTTTCATGTAAAATTTGCATTTTTTGCTATGTCCATGGTAACTCTGATGGCAAGTTATTTGTGAATACCACCGCTGCGTGTTTGCGATCGTAACAGTAGTTACCAGCGATAAT